TAAAAAAAAAAAAAATCCTCGACTCGAAAATGATTTTAACGAGTGAAACAGATTTGAGAAGACAAAAAAGGACAGTCAGGGAAAGCAGAACGATGGATAAGAACAAGAGGCATGATGTTAAGTGTTTTACATTCGTTGTATCAGTGGTTGCAAACTATTCCTTCCTTTCTGTTTTTAAGCATTGGAATCTTTCTGTGGAATGAAGTCTTCTCAAAGACACTAGTCTATGAAAGAGGATGGTTGGATCGGCAGTAGTCCAGATTGCTCCTCTCCTCCCGGCATCTCCCCATGGGCCCCTCAACAAAGCCCTACTTACAGCTGGGAAGGCACTGATGAAATCCTTTCTCCTCACCTTAACTCCATGCAGTAGGGATTAGTATCTCCGTTGCAGTAGAGTGAGATGAAGAGAGGTTCCTTAAGTCCCCCATGGTCACACAGCTATTCACTGAGACAGCTGAGACTCCAAAGTCTACATAGTTAGCCTTCCCAGAGGCCAATCTTTTTAGTAAATAAATGGAATCCTACTCTAAACATGCATTCAGGGAAGCCTGGCTGGCTCAGTCAGAAGAGCATGCTACCCTCGACTTGGGGGTCATGAGTGTGGGCCCCAGGTTGGGTCTAGAGATTGCTTAAATAAAAATAAAAACGTTAAATTTTTTTAACGTTTTTATTATTTTTTTTAGAGAGAGAAAGAGAGAGAGACAGAGCGTGAGTGGGGGAGGAGCGGAGAGAGGGGGAGACACAGAATGCGAAGCAGGCTCCAGGCTCTGAGCTGTCAGCACAGATCCGACGCGGGGCTCGAACCCAGGAACTGCAAGATCATGACCTGAGCTGAAGTTGGACGTGTAACTGAGCCACCCAGGTGTGCCAAAAACTTCAAAAAGTAATAAAAGTAAGAGTGCATTCAACAACAAATAGCAGAATACTAATAGTTCTTGAAGCCGTGTCCATTATGTTCTCCTATTTACTTTGTGTATGTTGAAAATTTTCCCATAACAAAACATTGTTTACTTCTTTTTTTAAGTTTATTTATTTATTTTGAGAGAGAGAGAGAAGTGGGGAAGGGCACAGAGAGAGGCAGAGAGAGAGAATCCCAAGCAGGTTCCCCACTGTTAGCACAGAGCCCGATGCGGAGCTAGAACTCATAAACCGTGAGATCACGACCTGAGCTGAAACCAAGAGTCACACGCTTAACCAACTGAGCCACCAGGAACCCCAATAAAACATTTTTTAAAAATACATTTTATTGGGCCACCTGGCTGGCTCGGAGGGAGGAGCACGAGACTCTGGATCTCGGGGTCGTGGGTTTGAGCCCCACGTTGGGTGTAGAGATTTCCAAGGTTGTTCACTGATCCCACTTGTGAAAGTTTATAAAGAGCCTTAACATCCTTCAGTTGGGTACCAACAGGGTTAAATAAAGTAAGGGACTTCCCAAACTGGACAATTATGCAACTGACAATAAAAGCTAGGTAAATAAGCATACATACTGGATGACTCCTTTTATATAGAATTCTGAGGGAGGTAGTGATTGTGAAGGGCATTTCTGCTGATAACATTCGAATTATCAATCTGGGTAACTGGTTACACAGTATACGCTTAGGACTTGGAGGGTCTTATGTATGTTACCCATTTTTTTAAAGGACTAAACTAGCTCCTTGCATGCTAACATTGAAGGGTTTCCAGTAGAGTCAAACTGGCAGAATGTTAGTGATTTCACATAGCTTCATCTAATGTAGCAATACGTAAAAAAGCAAGTTGTAGAACTGTAAAGAGCGTGCCACCATTTGAGAAAAAAAATATATCCATAAGTTCTTGCTTGTATATATAGAGAAAAGACGTTTCCTGAATGATAACGTGAGAAACTGTTAGCATTTTTTGTCTTCTAGGAAGGACGTTTGGTAGGCAGCTAGGGAAAAGAATTAAAAGAAAAATTCGCTCTCCCCTGCTCACCTTTGGGTAAAATTTGAATTTTGGACCACAAGCATGTATTACGTATCCAAAATATGAGGTTACTTTAATATACACATATATTCTATTTATGTAGAGCTATTTGGGGGGTAGAAGAGTTTTAAATGACTTAGTTCATATGCCTCACTTATTCTATCAACCTTCTTTTTTTTTTTAAAGTTTATTTATTTATTTTGACAGAGATGGAGAGAGAGAGAGGCAGAGAGAGAGAATCCCAAGCAGGCTCCGCACTGTCAGTGAGGAGACTGATGTGGGACTCAAACTCACGAACTATGAGATCATGACCTGAGCCAAAACCAAGAGTCAGACGCTTAACCGACTGAGCCACCCGGGTGCCCATACTATCAACCTTCTGGAAGGAAAAGGAGGGAGAGAAAATCAATATGCCTGTTGTCTACATGAGCAAATTGAGGATCTTGAAAACAAAACTTTCCAGGCATCCATCTTGGACCAGAGATTGTTTCCATTTAAAACTCTAAGTTTGGAAGAGGGAAGAGAGTTAGGGTTGCAATGAAAGGCTTGGGTCTTTGTCTTGGTTTTGCCACCTACCTGTTGGGTGACCTTGGGTGAATCACTTCACCTCTCTGCATCTTGGTTTCCTTATCTGCAAAATGGAGATAACAGTTACCTCTCAGGGTTGATGTGAGAATAAAATAAAAGTGAGTTATCCTCATGAGTGTCACTGTGCCCAATTCCTTACCCTATACAACCCCCCCCCCCAAAATATCTTTAGTAACCAGCAAATTATCAGCATCCACGGACAAAGAGAATCATAACCTCATGAAACAGCCCAGGTATCTGTTGAACAGCTCAGACCGTTAGAAAGTTCTGTCTTGAGTTGAACTCAAATCTGCTTCCCTATATGCAACTGCCTCCAGGGGTCCTAATTCTCCCCTCCACGTGGGCTACTCACCTGCTACCATCTTCTTTTCATGAAAACAGCTCCACCTCTTGCCAGTGCTGGTATCCCCTTCCTGGGGGCTGAGCACCCCCCAGTTCTTTCAGCAGCTCCTCTCAGGTCACATGACCCTGCTGCTGCCTACTCCAGCTTCTCCTCCAGTGGCTGCATCAGCCTTCTGGCTCGTACTGAACTGACATCAACAGAAACAATCCGTGATACACAGGCTGCTTAACACCTTCGCTTTCATCCTGTACTTGGACTGCCAGTCCTCCTTAACAGAGAACAAGGTTTTTCACGGGCCCCTCTTAAATTTTCATCCACTGTTCAAGATCTTTTTCTTTAAAAAAATTTTTTTAACGTTTATTCATTATTGAGAGGCAGAGAGACACAGAGCGTGAGCAGGGGAGGGGCAGAGAGAGAGGGAGACACCGAATCCGAAGCAGGCTCCAGGCTCTGGGCTGTCAGCACAGAGCCCGACGCGGGGCTCGAACTCACAAACTGTGAGATCGTGACCTGAGCCAAAGTCGGACGTTTAACCGACTGAGCCACCCAGGCGACCCTCAAGATCTTTTTCAACATGAATTTTACTATGTAAATTATTAAGTATCACCCCAGCTTTGACAACTATGTTATCTGCTGACTGTGACTTACTTGACTTTATCAGAGTTATGAATAAATAATTGACCAAGACAGGTGCTGGAGTGATGTGCTCTGTCCAGGTTGGCACCGACCCGCTTCTCTTTCTTCAACATTTTGGGGCCACTCCACTGGTGGAAGGCCACCAGCTTACCTGTCCCTGGGACCCTTGTTGGCTCCTAGAGATCACCACTTCCCTAAGTGGTTTTCCTTTTCTTCGTTGCTGCATAGAAATCCCAACATCTGCCCCTCCCGCCATCATCAGAATCAGGTACAATCACAACGATGAAACAACCTCACAAAATGTACATTGCAGTGAACATATGAGAGTTTATCATCTACTGAGTGGGACCTTCCTGGCTCCAATGAGGGTCAATATCTTCACTGTGCCGTAAATTGGAAGACAGATGGGCTATTTTTCTTAAAAAAAAAAAAAAAAAGACGATATTAAAATTAGGGGGGAAATTCACAAAATTATACATTTAACGATATATTTTGACTATTAATATTAAATTGTTTAATGTTTTACTGCCCCAAATAATCACATCACAATGCCTTTCTGGAAGCAAAAGCAAAACAGGGAAGAGGATGTTATTGAATGTCTAGACTCCACACAAACCCTCTCCTTTGACCCCCTTAATAACCCTGTAAAATAGGAAACCCTGCATTATGCAGATGAAGAAAAGACCCAGGGAGATTAGGGCCCTGTAGACAATGAGCAGTCCAAATTCCAGCCCACACCAAGCCTATTTGGCTCCAGGGCCCTCATTCTTTCCAGTTACTGAGATTTGCTTTCTCTGACTTGCTCCTTACATGGCTGCTTCCTTCCTAGCTGCCCACAAATGCTTAGAACTCCATGGTCCCTCCCATCATTACCTTTTCTTCTTTTCTTAGCATTCGTAAAGGCTCTCACTTCTTACATTATCCAAACTTGGCCCCAAACAATCAGAAAACTAGAATAACCACCAGTGCCCAAGGAAGGCACAGGTCTTCCCAAATGGTGGAGGGGGGGATTTCTATTGTCCTGATGCCCCTGAGTCCTGATCTCCTCCTCCTCTCTTTCTCAGCCTCCTCTGTGTGTCAGCCGCCCCCTCACCACCTAGTCCCACCTTAGCCCTCCGACTTCCCGCCATGCCCCACCATTCACTCAAAATGGTACTTCCTGAGTTTTCCAGTGATCTCATGGCCAAATGCAATGACCTTT